CCCCCTGAAAAGTAGAGCCTACCTGTACAGGGTTCCACTCCAACAGCTGATATAGTGTGTCCATGCTTGACTGCTTCAAGGCTCAAGAGAGGGTCAATGGACCTAATAGGATAAGACTCTGCGTGAGCAAAAGACACTAGCGGTCTGCACCTCTACCGTGTACGCCCTAGTCACTCTTTCAGTGGTAGCGGAGCAGTGATCCTGGAAGACCCAGGTGAGCTCCTTTCCTAGGCATAGAATTGCTTGTGGGCAAACGGCCATGGATTGGATTGACGACTGGGAAGAGCCTGATGCGGATGTGGCTTATGAGCCAGCAGCCTACGTGAATAGGCATGTGAGAAGAGAACCAGCAGCAATAGCTATGACAACACAGGTCACTACAAAGGTGCCCCCATCTTATGATGGAAAGACTTCATGGTTTTCCTATGAGGATGCCATAGACGATTGGTGTGATATCACCGAGCTGGAAGATGAGAAGAGAGGACCAGCTTTGAGAAACAGATTAGAAGGAGAAGCAGCAGTATACAAACGTGTATTAGACAGAGATTCAGTGAAGGCTAATGAGCCACCAGGAGCAGGAGTAGATTACTTCAAACGAGTACTACGACCATATTTCGTGAAAGGATCAACCAATGTATTCCTATACAGGTTTATGCAATTCGTGCGATTCAATCGAGGATCAGCCGACATGATGAAATGGATGACAAGATTCCAGATTTTACTCCAAAGGCTTATGAGCAGTTGGATGGACATGTTAGAACCAGTCACTCAAGCACATCCCCAAGTCCTTGCTCAGATGCAGGCAGATGCAGCGTTGACTGGAGTAGCACCAACGGCAGAAAGGATTCAGGAAATCATGCAGAATGTCAATGGCAATATGAGAATTCTTCATCAGAATGATTTTCCTTTAGGAGAGAATCTCATTGCCCTACTCATGCTGTCCCTTGCAGATTTGTCTCAGGACCAGCGAAACACTTTGACTTCGTTGATGACTCATCGTGGCAGGTACCTGCAGCAATACACTACAACAGAGCTGAGGACAGTTTTCATCGAGATGTTCTGCACGACAAAGACTTCAGTAGACAATCCATTGATGCAGCCGACAGGTGCTGGAGGTAGAAGATCATTTCTCGTACTAGACGAAGGAGAACTCGATGGTACATTTGGCTATTGGGCCGAAGATGAAGAAGATGGAACAGAAGGATTTTTAGATGCCCTGGACGATGTCTTTTGGGTATATGATGATCAAAACTTCTCGTGGTTCCAAAGGAGATTCCAAGGAAGAAGAGCCAGAAAAGGTAAAGGAAAAGGTAGAAGAAAAGGAAAAGGCAAAGGAAGATCAGGCCGCAGATTCTTCAGACCTCGTGGAAAAGGAAAAGGAAAGAGACGAGGTAAAGGCCATTTTGCTGATGAGCAACAGACAACTTTTCCAGATGAATACCTTGAAGAGAATCCTTATGAGGACACTTGGGAGTCAACCCAAGGAGCATATGATGCCATTCTTGCCGAGGATATGAATGACTATCTTCACGGAGAATATGATGATGCCAATGACTTTTGGCAACAGCTTGAAGAAGCATGGTTTTCCCACAAAGGAAAAGGAAAAGGCAAGAGAAAAGGCAAGAAAGGAAAAGGAAAAGATAAAGGAGATGGCAAACAAGATGCAAACTATGCAAATCAACAACAGCCACGTTCTTTACCTGCACCTTCAAGAACTTCACAAGCATCAGGAGGTCAACAAGTTTTCTTAGCACATTGTGCGACAGCAGCAGCTGAAGTCCATGACAGTGAGGTGGACTTGCTGTCAGGCATGATGACCTCATGCCAAGATGAAGCTGACTGCGTGGTCAACAGTGGTGAGACGATCCTCGATGACATGAGTGCCCCTGTGAGGTACTCTTTGTCAAAGGAGATGCTCACAAAGGCTCCTGATGGCTTTGCGCTTATGAGCGCTGATGGCTTTGCGCTTATGAGCGCTGATGGCTTTGCGCTTATGAGCGCTGATGGTTTTGCGCTTATGAGCGCTGAGGAAGAAGTGAAGGAGATGCAGGCTATTTCATTTTTGACTGAGAATCGCTTCCCGCCAACTATTGCAATCCTGGACATTGGATGCACTAGAGCTATGGGATCAAGGCGAGCAGTCGACCATTTTTGCAACTATGTCGACAATCACCCAGATTGTGGATTATGGTACTCCTTTGAGTCTACCAAGAGCAAGTTTTACTTTGCCAATTCCCAGAAGGCTACTTGCTCTCAGAAACTGGTGATTTACATGTATGATCGTGCATGGACGATCCACCAGACAGAGTTCGACATAGTGGAAGAAGGAGAAGTCCCTTTGCTTATGAGCTTGCCACAGATGAGGAACTTAGGCTTTGAACTCAGGCTGACACCTCGACATGCTTATTTGACATCGGTGCCTCTTGGTATCAAATTTTTGGAGTTGAAGGTTGCAGCCAGTACTCATCTTGTGCTGGACTTCCAAGATATTGCATGGTATCTGTCTGACGTGCGTTGGCAGACTCAGCCTGAGAAGAGTTTTTACCCTCACCTCACTCACTATGAATATGGCCATATTTCTGTTGAACACAATAGTGATGAAGGTGAAGCTGAGCATGCATATCCTGTGGTTGATTTCTGGGAAGTAGATGTTCACAAGAGAGAACTGATACGTCACCACAAGGATTACAGGAAAATTCTTTTCCCAGCGACTAAGTCATGTCCTGTAGACACTGACTTGCTGGAAGACTTGCGATTGACAATCATCAAGAAGAAGAAAGGTGGAGAAGAAATCAAGAAGACAGATGATTGGCGCAAGGCAAAATGGAAGGACCTACAACTTGGCTATGAATGGCGTGGTAGAACAATTTTTAAGTTTAAGCCAGATGCCAAAATTCCAGATCTAAAGATCAGGAAGGCTGGCATTGAGCACCGTGGCATTGGTGATCCCGATGCAGTGGTGCGCTCCTCCTCAGAGAAGGTTCCCATTGCAAAGGACAGGGAACCAGGCTTCTCGTCAGAGAAGGAAGGTGCACCATCCAGTGCCGCGGAAAAGCCTGTGCCGCCAAGGTTCCGGTATACTTCCAAGGGTTTTGATCCCTTTTGGAAAGGACACAAGTCGAAACCATCTGAGCCTCAGAATGATTTAAAGGGTGATGATCTTGAGGAGTATGTTCCCTCAGAACCACCTGAGAGGCCAGAAGGTGAACTTGTAGAAATTCCTAAAGCATCAAAAGGACCATCAAGTGATAAACATGAACCACTTGAACCAGGTGATGGCGCTCTTGAGCCTAGGCGGATTTCAATCCCATTACCTGGTAGTGAAGTTGTTGCAATGACACCGGCATATAGGAAGATGTTACAGAGACTGGAGGACGTTGTCAGGAACTGCCGTGTTTGTAACACTTCAGTGGCACCTCCGCCACGAGCCAGAGTCTCCGGTATTAGAGCTTCATGTTTTGGTGATGTTGTTTTTGCTGATCATTGTGAGGTTGAACTTCACAAGAACAAGTATATCATTCTACTTGTTCTTGATGGTGCCACAGATCTTCTCTGGGCTACGGCACAGAAAGACCTCATAGATCAAACCACCATCCAAGCGTTGAGGCAATGGTCTGATGAGAACAACTGTGTTCCAAAGGCCATCGTAGGAGACGAAGCCTTTTTCACCGATGCTTTTGTTGAATACTACAGGTTCCATGGTATACAACAATGTCCTTGTGGGCCAAGAACTCCTTGGCCGAACCGAGCAGAGACAGCTGTACGTTTGTTCAAACGTATGTGGAATATTATGAAGGTAGATCTGGATGACCCACGTTTTCGTGGTGTTACGGTCAGAGAAGTGGTCAAGAAGGTAGTTTGGGCAAGAAATTGTCAGTTGACTATCAGTGGATATTCACCAATAGAGATAGCAACTGGAAGACGTCCACCAGATCTTTTTGACCTTGAGACCGCAAGCCCTGAGCAATTGTCAGCTAATGCCGCCGCACAAGATCGTACAAATTTGGAACTACAACGTGTGGCTTTGAGAGCTCATCAAGAAGCACGACAAGCTCAGGACCTTCGAGCAGATCTTGCGAGAAGGACTATGCCAAGTGACGGTCCTTATTTCCAAGGAGAGAAGGTTTTTGTTTGGACTCAGGATTCATCAAAGTTCAAGGATAAAGGACGTTGGGTTCGTGCCACAGTACTTGGACAAGAAGGAGCTATGGTCCAAGCCAATACTGGTAAGGCAGTGATACGTGTGAATCA